GTTCCTACCACCACCACTGTAAAGAAATCTGAACCATTTTATGCCAAACCATTTTGAATCGCTCTGTTTACACCTCAAACACTGAATTATGCAGAAATTTTAAAAAAATAAGTGGAATTCCCCTCTAATTGTGAAGTGAGGAGGTTTTCTGCAGAAGTAGTGGAGACTGCACTGCTGCTAGTCTTCAGGCCAGTGGATTCATTTCCCTGTAATTGAATAAAGAAGCTCTTAGTGACTGTGACAGTAACTGAGTGACCTCAGACAGGAAGTTTATTTAAAAAAAAACAGCGTGCGTCTAAAGGCCTGCTGCTGTTTTAATACAACGGATAAGCTGCCGTTCAGACTGAAAAGACTGCATTCTTACGGTCGTGTGTAAAAGTTTGAACACCCCCTCCTCCCAAATTACATTTGTGTTGATTTTCTAAGTGTAACTAAGTGAACTCATCCTTTACAGAGAAAACACTTCTGCACATTTTAATGCACAATTACTGTTTATTTACTGAATTTAACATACTGGAAAATGCATAATCTGTGCAAAAGTTTTGGCATATTTTATATTTAGCGTTTTATTTTTCCCAGTGTGTTAAATTCAGTAAATAAACAGTAATTGTGCATTAAAATGTGCAGAAGTGTGTTCAATATAGAGGATGTGTTCACTTATTTTCACTTTAAAAATTCAACAAAACATGTCATTTGACCAGGGGTGTGCAAACTTTTGTATGTAGTTTTGTGTATGTAGTTCTTCAGCAATGTTTGGTCCAGCCTCTCATTTTCTTTGTAATGCACATCATCACTGACACATAAGTTATCTCCAAATGCGTACTTTATAGGAGAAGGAAAAACAAATTTTTAATGTAAATGTAATACAAAGGGGAAGTCCAGCAATCTTTCAGAATTTCTGCATAATCACTTTAAATTGGCCAACATTCATATTTCATCACTTCTCAAACATGTAAGAGCTGAAAGTTTGATGGACGTAACAACTAAGAGAGGCAGGAATTTCTCAGAATTTTGCAGTCAAGTCAACAGGCTGCTCATTATTACCTTACTGGCAATAACTAGAGTGAATTAAGCATTTTCCAGAACACTTTTATGTGTGTGTTGTACATCATCTTGTGCCCAACCCTTTGGGTTTATAATATGCTTATTTTCTTTTGATTGCTATTTATAACTCAATAACAATTCTAGTTAAAAGGGGAATTCTGCCATTTTCCAAATTTACATGGTTAAAATGTGGAGAAAAGTCATTCAGAGTGGTGTGTTGAGTCATAACTGTGAGACGTTGTTTTTATGTTAGTTTTAAGAAGATTTTGGCCTAAAACACATTTTTAAGCTAGTCATGGCGGAGAGGTTCTTTACAGTGGTGGTGATAAGAACCAGGGGTTGCCATGACTACAACACAAATATGGACATTTTGTTTGCTGTCCAAAACCACCAGTGAACCTACATGTGCCTGAGTTTTATATGAAATGTTGATGATGATAAAATAGTGGAAAATCTAAAATAATGATAATAATAACAATGATAATAAGTTTTCTTTGCAGACTATTTTGCCTCACAACACTCTGCATGTATCCCTCCACCATGAATGGATTTTAACAGGCCCGAATCATCAAGTTATCAGCCTCTGCACACAAATGTGTGGTAGGCCCCTACCTGGCTACCTTTTTTGGGTGGTCAGTGAATCTTTTATGATATCACAGCAGGTTACATAAGGGCTATGCAGCACTACGACGGCAGCATTTAATCACAGTGTTGGGCACATCACTGCTTTAAGCACAGTGTTTTTTTTCCTATCAAGATAGCAATAGCAAGATTACGCCCACATTAACAAGAATACAGGTCAACATGAACCCAACAACTAAAGCAACACTCCTCATAAAGCAAGCATCCACTCTTGATAAGCTAAACATTTACTCTAATGAAGACAACAAATTAAAATCGGGCAGCTGAAAATGGAAAAAAGCAAACCGTCAAGCATCCTAGCTAACGTATACAGCCACAACAGACGAGCAAAAAATATATCTTACCTCTGATGCCAGTTCACAGATCACTGCCAACAAGGACTATTCAACTTTTTTCTTCAACTTGGCTGACTGACTTTTTTTGTATTTGGCTCTGGAAATGAGTGTCCTCCACTCTGTCGAAGTGTCAGGCCTCGTTTTTACAGATCCCCCAGCACCTCTTTTAAATATCTCTAGCTTCGAATTTAAAGTACAGTCAGAGTATCTCACTTTCTCACTTCTAAAAACCTGAAAGCTTGACAGTGTAATTGGTTACTAAGCGCTGACTGGAGGAGAAAATGAAGTGGATGTTTCAGAAAGATGTGGAGAGCGTCAGGATTAGGATCGACCGTAACACACTTACAAATTAGATCTTTTTTTCTGCTGTGCTGCTAGTAAAGTTCCCACCACTATTGGCATCACGAGTCAAAATAGTTGTTTATATTTTCTTATAATTGCTGAGAATGTGGCCATAAAACCCACTGGATGGTCAGGCCCTGGACTTTAAAAATACATTTAAGGCCAAAACCTTCTCAAAACTTTAAAACGTAATAACTTTCTGTGTGGGAGCTTTTAGAGGTGGACGTCTGGTTCTTATCACCACCACTGTGAACAATTCTGACTTGGTTAGCTTCTCTAGAATGGCGCAATTCACTCCAAACCACTCTGAATGATGATACATCTTATCCATTTAATTATACAGAAATTTGTGAAATTCCCCTTTAAAATGATAAGGTATTGTAAAATGACAAAAAACCAAGCTTGTTTGTATTAACAGTATGAAGAGCATGGGCATTAAAACTTGCTCCATTGTGGAATAAATGCTCGTGTTTTTCTGGTCTCGCGGTTTCTCCTGATCAGACTGCGCTGTCCGCTCTGTTGTGCTGATCCGCAGGCTCTGGGAGAAAGGTCACTGTTTTCCTGCAGTCGCTGTATCGATCTCCAGACGGGCCGGACCTTCCTGGAGCCGCTTTAGCATAACTGGCTGTGTGCTGATGTCTCTGCTGAGCTGTGAACTCCACTGTAGTTACCGGGGGGTCAGGCTTTGGTCGGATAAGGTCGTCAGAAACAGCTGGTGCTAAAGACTTGAGTATTTTTGCACAGTGCCGTGTGATAGCTAATACTTCTCCATTGTTACAGTGATTTGCAAGGCTAGTCGGATGATCTTGGGAGCTTAGAAGAGATACAAGCCCCTTCTACAATGGCAGCTATGTTCTACCAACAAAAAATGGCTTTAATTCCCCTCCTCTAACCCCCGAAACCCCAGCCGTAAAAAACACAGCACGGCCGCTGTGCTATCTTTAACCTGACCCTAAGTGGCTAAATATAAAAAAGCATCTCTCGCCTTCGGCAACTTCTGCTCCACTGAGTTTTTTCTCGCCGATTTGTCATGATTACCAAGAATCCATGACTCGCTGAACTTTAGTGCTGCTTTATGCTGATTTCTCCTGCTTCTCTCTGCTCTTCTTTTATAGAGCGCATTGCGAGGCCTGAGTAATGACGATAATTATCAGGGATGCACTGGGTTGATATTTTGCATGTACATATCCGTTGATGGTGATACACACACATTTTTAAGCTGTAGAAACTGAGACTCTCCTAGATTATCATAACGGAGACATATGACATTTATTTCTGTCGCGCTAAAAGTAATGAATAAAATGAAAAATCAACAAACGTCAAACATCAAGTATCAGTCAAATCCAAACATGTTCGATGCTGATGCATTTTTTTAAACAATTATCTGCTGATACAGATTGTCTCTTGCTTATCCAGCTAACTTTAAGCTTAGTTCAGTCCAACCCTGGATTTTCTTTTTCACATCAGTGGGCTACATCATCACGGCAGCTTCGCACAGCTCCAGGGCTAACCTTCTCCAGGGCCGGTTAAGTTTGGGATTTCATAAACAGCTCTTGAACTTGTCAAGGTTGATCTTCAGACCAATTAGGGCTGAGCGTCTGATGAGTCAGGGTTTATTTTCTGATCAGTCAGGGCTGAGCTTCTGATCCGTCAGGGCTGAGCTTCTGACCAGTCAGGGTTGAGCTTCTGATCAGTCAGGGTTGAGCTTCTGATCAATCAGGGCTGAGCTTCTGACCAGTCAGGGTTGAGCTTCTGATCAGTCAGGGCTGAGCTTCTGATCAGTCAGGGTTGAGCTTCTGACCAGTCAGGGCTGATCTTCTGATCAGTTAGGGTTGAGCATCTGATAAGTCAGGGTTGAGCGTCTGATCAGTCAGGGTTGATGTTCTGATCAGTCAGGTTTGAGCGTCTGATCCGTCAGGGTTGAGTTTCTGATCAGTCAGGGTTAATCTTTTGACCAATCAGGGCTCGTCTTCTGACCAGTCAGAGCTGAGCTTTTACCAAACAGGGTTGATCTTCTTAGCAGTCAAGGCTGATCTTCTTACCAATCAGTGCCGAGCTTCTGACCAATCAGGGTTGATCTTCTGGCCAATCAGAGCTGCGCATATGACCAGTCTGGGTTGATTTTCTGACCAATCAGTACGAACCTCTGACCAATCAGGGTTGATCTTCTGCACATGCACAAGGATTAATCACAGTCTGAGTACCTAAACCTGATTAATCACAGCCTCAGTATTAAATCTATTTTGCCTCATGATGACCTGCATGTATCCTTCCACCATGAATGTATCAAAAAACTGTTTTAGACCAAAACCTTCTCAAAAGTACCATAAAACCGTGTCTCAGTCATCAGGCAGTGTCTTCATAACCACTTCATATAAGAAATTTGGGGGCCTTTTTTTAGAGAGCTTTCTTATTCCTATCCCCACCATGGTGAACAGATGCTGACAGATTCTGACTGGGTAAATTACTCTAGAATTTCCCATCAAACCACTCTGAATAACTTTGTCTACATCAAGTTGGTGGAATTCCCCTTTAAACAAGCTGACATATTACTGTGTAATAGTACATTGTGAAAAATACTTTGTCATAATGTTTTAAGTGTATCGTCCAGCCGTACTCACTGTTTTTGTCCTGTAGGTCCAGCTGGGAGCTCCCTGACCTGCGAGACGGGAAGATTCAGGCCATCAGTGACTCAGATGGCGTTAACTACCCCTGGTATGGCAACACCACAGAAACGTGCACCATTGTGGGCCCGACCAAGAAGGACACCAAATTCACCGTCAGCATGAACGACAACTTCTACCCGAGCGTGACGTGGGGCGTCCCGGTCAGCGACAGCAACGCTCCGATGCTCAGCAGCATCTGGAGGGACCAGAGCTTCACCACGTGGCTGGTGGCCATCAACCAGGCGTCCGGAGAGACGCTGGTGCTGCAGACGGTGCGCTGGAGGATGCGGCTGCACATCGACGTGGACCCGGAGAAGCCGCTGGGGAAAAGAGCCAGGCTGTGTGAGCCAATCGCTCAGGAACAGCCTCAGGTGCTGGTCAAAAATGAGCCCATCCCACCAAACGCCATGGTCAAGCCCAATGCCAACGACGCTCAAGTCCTAATGTGGAGGCCCAGGACTGGGGAGCCAGTGGTGGTCATCCCACCCAAATACTGAGAGAGATTTTGAAAATTTTTTGTTGTGTTTTTTTGTGTCTTTTTTTAAGAAATTAAAACCACAAGGAATAGTCTGGATTGTCTTGCTCCCCTAGAAATGTGAAAAAGGAGCTTGAGAAAAAAAGTGCAACCTTTCTACCTTCAACAATGACTCGGGAATCACTGTGCTAAATCATTGCAAAAAGAAAAAAATATAAACTTGCTATTTTTTTTTTTTTTCGATTTTTAATGATGACCGGGACTCGGTGTGCAAGTGTTTTTGATAGTATTGCAGCCATATATGAGAATGTGGCATAATTAGTGTGTGTGCATTGGAAACAGCAGTCGTATTTATTTATTTGGGTGGGTTATGTATCGCTAAAGGCACCTTTTTGTGCTTATGAGTGAGGAAACAAAAAAAAATATGAATGCGGAGTGACACTTGTTTTTGTTTGTGGAATTTTTTAAAACATCCAAGACATTTGATCCATGCTGCCTTAAGTTTACATTGCTTTTCACAAACTTTGCAAACTTTTTAGCCTTAAAATGATGTGCAATGCAGTAAACTATGGAAGCCTGTTCCAGCCAGATACAGGAGAAAAAAATCCTTTTCTGTTTCTGGCAGCAGTGTGTCAAAATTCTGAATCACTTACATTCTCAGAGTATTCCTGTAGTATCTCCAAACAATTTAACTTATTAACTTAATTAACTTATTCTTTCAAAATTTTGACTTTTCATCTCAAATACTGACTTGAAATACTGACATATTATCTTTAAATATGGAATGAATATGTTGAAACAATGAGTTATTACATTTTAATAAAGTAAATAATTATTTTGAGATAATGTCAATATTTCAAAATAAAAGTCATAGTTTTGAGATATAAAGTCAATATTTAAAGACACAAAGTCAATATTTCAAGATGTCACTCATTTGAAATATTAAGTCAAAATTTTGACATACCGTCATTATTTTAAGAAAATAAGTCATTATTCTGAAACATAATTCAGTATTTTGAGATATTAAGTCCTTTCAAGAGGAGTCAATATTATGAGATAATAAGTCCATATTTTGAGACAGTAACATAGTGTTTGAAGAAAATAGTCACTATTTTGAGATCCTAAGTCAGAATTTTCAGATACTGTTATTATTTTAAGAAAATAAGTAATTATTCTGAAACACAATTCAGTATTTTGAGATATTAAGTAGTTATTTCAAGAGAAGTCAATATTATGAGATAGTAAGTCCATATTTTGAGAAAGTAACATTATTTTGAGATCCTAAGTCATTATTTTACATAGTAAGTCAAAAATATTTGAAATTAAGTGATTACTTTGAGATAATATGTCAGTTTTTTAAATTAAATCATTATTTCGAGACTAGATTTTGACAAACTGCTACCAACAAACAGAAATGGAGAAAAAAAACAGGTGTTTTCTTTCTCTTCTACCTGGTGGGAATGGACTTCCATAAAAACCCTCATCTACCCACTCATGATGTGTGGTAGTCTACTCATGTGATGGGGCGAGTGTTCCTTTCTAATAGCTCCTTCCCCCGTTCCCCTCTTCTTAACGCAGAGGTCATGATCTGTGGTTTTATAACTAGATAAATGAGTAAAAACAGATGTTGATGAGGGCTTTGTTGGGGATAGGATTGGGGTCCCATTTGGTACAAATGCCAAATTGTAGGCTCCAAAGATGAGGCAGAGTGAAGGAAACTTCATCAGCTTCATTAGTGCTTTCATAATAAAAACAATGTTCTCTTGAAATTGAGCGTTCCATCAACAGAACACTGCACATCGTCAGAGATTAACTATCAACTAGGAGGATAAAGAGAGATTTCGGCTGCTCTCTCGTTCGGCTCAAACCCGTTTAGACTACTGCTGTCAGCCAGACGTCACGCACTTCAGGAGGGACCCACACAAATCACTCTGAGGACATGGAAGAGAGTCTTCTGAATCCACTCGTCCAGAAACCTCAACCGTCTTCCTCTTTCTCAACCTTCAGACGCAGCTGATCTGGTTGCACCTCACCACTATGGAGTAGAGCTTATATTTGACATAATGTGAAGACATTCAAGGTATAAAAGCAGTATTTAAAAAGACATTAACAACAACAACAGCACAGCAACGGAACGCAGGCCACAAGCACATTTCTTTCAACCCATTAGCAATGCAACGTCTGAACTGATGTATTTTTCAAAACTGGAAATGTGCAAAAATGTTGAAAAATGTTGGAAAAAAAAAGAGTCTATTTTCAAATACACCCAGTCTGTCTTCCGTCTCCTTTTCCTTCTCCTCCGCCACGCACTCGCTCCCCTCTGACACAAGTGTCCCACACTGAATCCTGAAGAGATAGTCAATCAATACGTTCATTAAAAATTGAGGCACAGTGGCAGACTAGGAGAGTCGAGATGTATTTAACAGCTGAGCGCTAAAACAGCACTCCCTTTAGAGGCTAGCTGTCGTTAGTCATTTTAGCCTGTGTGCTAAGAGAGGTTTCTGCTGAGAGACTTGTGATCTTGAGAAATATTTCACCCAAAAAATGTTAAAGGAATGCTTTTTGGCTTAAAACTTACACAATTCTCCCCTTTTCTTCTAAATGTAGTCAAGATTGTTTGGTTTGCTTTAGTTTTGCCCTGGAGCTGCAGGGCTAATGCAGCTAACACCTAGTGCAGTTAGCAATTAGCATGCTGCAAAATGCAGGCCTGAGTGACCGCACACTTCCCTCAAACCACACTAAATTGTTAAGTAATCTCTAAAAGACTTGTTTATGTGGTTTCTAAAACAGAATGACATACTGTTATCCTTAAAAAGGGCAAAAGTGCATTAGCATAGCTATAGACAGGAATAGCAGCCATTGCCTGAACTATTCATTGCTCATGGGGAAACAAAGCTGCACTTTTACACAAACCAAATATGTGCTACTGGGTGCTATTAACTTCAGCACGTTAGCATTTTTAAGTTCTCTTGAGTGGACTCCCTGGGCCTTTCATTTTCTCAATGAAATTTTTGGGATTTTAAGGAAATCGATTTTCGCAGGGCACTTTGTCCCCCAGGCCCTGTGCTTCCCTGTAATTTTGGAAACAGCCATATGTTCAAAGGGTCCTATATTTCCAGGGTCCTATATTCCCATAGGCATACATTCCCCAAGACCTATATTCCCAGAGGTGTATATTTCTAGGGTCCTATATTCCAAAAGGCCTATATTCCCAGGGTTGTATACTCCAAAAGGCCTATGTTCCCAGGGTTGTATACTCCAAAAGGCCTATATTCTCAGGGTCCTATTTTCCCTAAAGCCTATATTCCCATGGTCCTATATTCTCAAAGGCATATATTTACAATATATTTACAGGGTCCTATATTCTCAAAGGCATATATTCCCATGGTCCTATTTTCCCTAATGCCTATATTCCCAGCGTCCTAAATTCTCAAAGGCCTATATTCCCATGGTCCTATTTTCCCTAAGGCCTACATTCCCATGGTCTTGTATTCCCAAAGGCCTATATTCCCAAGGTCCTAATTTCCTTAATGCCTATATTCCCAGAGTCCTATATTCCCATGGTTTTATATTCCCAAAGGCCTATATTCACAGGCCCCTTTTTCCCAAAGGCCTATATTCCTAGTCCTACATTCCCAGGGTCCTATTTTCCCAAAAGCCTATATTCCCATGGTCCTATTTTCCCAAAGGCCTATATTCCCAAAATCCTATATTTCCGTGGCCCTACATTCCCTCATTCAAATTTAATGAGAAACAGCTCTATGTTCCCATGTTGCGTCAGTCATATTTCCTCAGGTTTGAGTCGGCTATGAGTTGCTCAGGTTTGTGTGTTTGAACTAAACCAAACATCAGTTTCAGTAAAATCAACTTTGTTATCAGTACTCAGCTCATCTTGAAAGACTTTGCCAAAAGTCCATTAAGGTTTAATGAACCTAATGAGCTTGTGCTTAGACGCAGATTTAGTTTAGTCATAAACTAAAATGGATTTTTAATGGAGAATCCATTCTGGACTGCTTTCCATTTACACTGACTAGACTCAATCCATGCCTGGAGATCCAGTACAGAGTGTATTCAACTGTTGGTTGTTTGCAAACTGGCTTTAAAGATGTCCATGCAAATCTTTAAATAACATGGGGGGAATGTATTCAAAAGTATTTGAACAATGAAGCAATGAAATACTGCACAAATACAAAGGGCAGCCTTCATTTAATTTCCAGTCAAAATGCCCAATAAGTACAAGTTATTCATTTTACAGGATATATTCCTGAAGAGATGAGATATAAGATAATCCACTTGCATAGAGAAGAAGAAAGTCAAAGGAAAATAAGTGGAGTTTCCTGTCAAGAAGTCCAGACTTCAGCATCACTGAATGTGTTTGATTACTTCAGAAAATGATCAACCAGCTTCTAAGACCGAACTTTGGAGGTGTGTCTGTAGATTTCTTAGAGAAACTGAAAGTGAGTCTCCTGAAAAGATTGGAAGCTGTAATAAAGGTAAAGAGTGACACACTAAACACTGAAAAAGCTTGTTGAGGCTTTTGTGTAATTTTCTCTTAAATTTGTGTTTTTTCCCCTGAGGCTGAAAAATTAATAACTTTTTTGACTGCAAGGTCAATAAATAAAGGATGGTCTCTGACTTTTGCACACTACTGTAAGTAGCCTGAATATGGGGCAGAGGTAATGTTTCTGAATACACAGTAACGGTGTTGATAGAAAAATATGCCGTAACTAAGAAACAATAACAAAAAAAAGACCAATCATGTGGTAATCTGATGAAATCAGCTGTAGAGTTTTGGGGCTTGGATTTAGTATCAGGCTTTTTATCTCATGATTAAAGAACAGCAGCGTCATCAGGGCTGAAAAGGAATAAAGGGGGCACATTGTTTTTCTCTTCTCTCTCATCCTGCATGTCATTTGAAGGGGCTCTCTGGAGAATCTTTCAATTCAGTTTAATTCAAAGAAGCTTTATTGCCATGACTGTATAAAGTTATACTGTTGCCAATGTCATATATTAGTGTATTAATCAGTCAGCACCCACCGAGTAACTGCACACAATGAGAATGTTTACTATTTCAATTAACCAGACAAAACAGAAACTAAAAGTTCAGTGGTGAAGTGAGAATGGCATTAATAAAAGAAGCATTCTGGGCAGAAATTTTACTCCAGCTCAGAAAAAGAGTTTGTGAATTGGCATATTTTGCACAACGTCTTCACACAAATATGGATGATTCTACCGAAATCAGAGTCAGAGTTGAAAACACATCTGGCACTTTTAACTGATCTTAGATTTTAGACTAAAGTCATTTTGCTTTGAGTGACCCTATACCTTAATTATGTTTATTTTTATTAAAATAAATGATTCAACATTCTATTTTGTCACTACCGAAACAATCATAATACTACTGAAACTTTACTAAATGTTTCAGTGGTGACTGTTTCGGTAGTGATACATTTAGCTCATTTTGAGCAGAACTCAAAAACACTACTAAGTACATGACTAGCAAACACAGCTGTGAACACATAAAATCACTTAAAACACAAAAAAGTTACTTAACTGCAGAAAATATGTTTCGGTAGTGACAATTCTTCAAGTTTCACACTGATTTTCAGACTTTGGAACACATTTACATTAAAACAATGGTATCTAGCTGCTCACCATGTGGCCATGAGGAACAGGGATGCAGTCTCAATTCCTGGTCTAAAATACAGGGGCGTGGCTACAATAAAGCTCCGCCTACAGACTAAAACTGTGTTTTAGTAGTGACATAAAAATGTTGGGCAGCATTTTCTAAATAATGGTTTTTAATTTACAAATAAAAATCATGGTTAATCTAAATCTTTCAGCTTCACTCCACAGTCAAAATATTTATATTTTTTAAAAGAAACTTTTAAATGTAAGTATTATTTTCACAAGTCTAAATTGAGGAGTCAGAGTTTGGGACAGAAACCTCCCAATAGAGAATACCCCCATATATATCATCATATCGCTGTTGTTGGAAGAAAATCTTGTATCTCCAAAATGATAACTTTACAGGAGAAGAAAAAAACCTACTTTACTTTTAATGTAAACACAATGTAAAGGGTAACAGGTATTTTCAAATTATGCCAAAAACTGAAAAACGACAAAAATGTTTAAACAGTGTTATTCTGACGGTAAACAGTCTTTAAACACATGTTCGCGGCTGGTTCTCCATCTAGCCGCTGTGTCTGCTGCCACTGTTCAGGAAAATCAACAACACATCTTTAAGACACTAGTGCAAATTTACACCTAATTTTAAGAAGCGGAGGAAAGTCCACCCAAAACTGGCCACTGTCCGCTGCTCAAACATCAGTAAATCGAATGCAATATATAATCAGCTGCATATGTAATATCTCCACCCAATTTTTTGCATTATCCTCCCATGTTTTCCACAGCCCTCCATCAAATACATATCACTGCTGTGGGAACAAAACCTTGTATCTCCATTTTTGATTTTTTTTGTAGTTGTTTTTTACAGAATTTGAAAATGCCAGCTTTACAACACGTTCAAATTTAATGATGAACAGACCAACAGAATCGCTCCAAAATTACTTGGAAAAAAACTGATTCCATTAACTCCCATTCAAATTTCACATGTTTTTTCTCCTATAAAATTACCTTTTTGGAGATACAAGGTTTGCTCTACCAGCAATGAATGTAATGGCTACATTAAGATATCATTTACCCCCTTAAAACCTTAAAACCCCTGGTTTATTTCATTTTTTTTCCAATTTGCTCCCCAACATATCCAATTTCACCCACTAGTTAGGACCCCCCCAATCACACTATACTACAAGCGCTTGGAGGGCGAAGGCTAGCACAGTCTTCCTCTGAGACCCTTGAAGCTCCACCGCATCTCTTCCAACTGCTGGACACTGGACAGCTGGACGCGCTTGCAGGAGAACACTAAGCACCAGATCTGTTACGTCAGCTAACAGATTCCTGCACTGGCTAGCATCGCACTGAGTGACGGGGTAGATGTGCTCTCTTGGACTCCCAGCCACGGATGGCTGTAGCCTCACCAGAGATTGAACTCGTGATCTCCTGATAATAGAGCCAGGCTTGTTATTCAGTAACTACAAGGGCTTCAATGCAGTTCAATGCTGGCTTTGTAAGGGGTTAATATTCACATGATGCTGGATGTACAGGCGTCACTGTAGGCTTATGGTTCTATTATAATAAGTGCCTCATTATTGAAAGGATATAATGGGCTGTTTGCACTAGACGGATCACTTTTGCAGTCTGGCGAGTCAGAGGGAGAAAGATAAAAAAAGCAAAAGAAAAGTCTCTAATGGATTGAGTGTTCGGAAGCACCGCAGCTGCGGCTGTAGGTAGGCAGCAATGCGATGCAGCCTGATAGAAAATTCATGATTTGTCTTTGCTTTCGAAGGCCATGGGGCTGTTATATATTCCTGCAGCCATGCGGTGAAGTTATGGGGAGCAGAGAGCCGCTGCTGATGTGGGAAATTCACTCTTGCTGATAAGAGTGCAGTAGGAGAGCCTGAGCAGTCCACTGAAAGACCTAAAGCTGCCAGGCTGCAGAGGAACGGACTGTCAGACTGGTTTTAGATCCAGAGATGTTCCCCGAGCTGCCGCGTTAGCCAGCAGCTGCCACGACACATCAGATTTACAGGACAACTTTGGTCAGCCTTAACCAGAGCCTGCAGTGTTTGTGTCTGAGATATGACACGAGCTGCTGTGATGGCTTTGATTGCGCTGCTGGAGAGCACTAGTCTCCTTCTGATGTGAGCTGGGCGATTTGGTAAAGCACAGACAGCTCAGTGCACAGCCAGTAGGGGAATTCCATCAATTTTGCAAAATTTCTGTATAATTCAGTGGTTAAGATGTACACAAAGTCAGAAATGTTTCATTGTAGAGACATTTATTTACTATCCAAGTGAACCTACACGTGTCTTCTGAGTTTTCAATACTGATGACGGTAAATTCTTACCGTCGGTAAGATGACGGTACATTTTCTATGGGGACTATTTTGCCTCACAGCACACTGCATGTATCCCTCCACCATGAATGGATTTTGAAAATATGTTTTAGGGCAAAAGCTTCTCAAAACTATTGTAAAACAGTGTGTCAGGCATCCAGCAGTGTATGCACAACCATTTCATGTAATAACTTTCTGCGAGAGAGCTTTTAGAGGTGGTTCTGGTTCTTATCACCACCACTGTGAACAATTCTGACTCTGAGT